CTCCCAAGCACCCCCGGTGTATCCCAGAAGCTGAGTGCGGCCCTCCAGTCTCTCTTGCACGGCCCAATCCCCTTGGCGGTCCTCGACACTGCAGCCCAGAGCAGCTTCACAGGCTCCGGCCCAAGCACTAAATGCTCAAGTATCACTGGGAGCGGCTCTGGACTGAGCACTGCTTGAAGGGAAAAATAAATGGGGAAGGAGAGAAAGTATATGTTTAAGTCACCTATAGGTGTTGCATCCTGCTGACACCTACTGGAATCCCCAGTACCTCATAGAGTGCCCCCAAGCACCACCAGGGGTCTCCACTGAGAAGGAACAGCCCTTGAACACTGCTGGGTATAGCCCGAGCCCCCTCTCCCTCTCCCCACCCCCACCCCCCCACACATACGGGACTGAATTAGAAAGAATCTATTTATCTATCTTTCATTCTAAATGCCACCGAACAAAATACACACTTTCCCGTGAAGGGGAACGTAGCGAGCAACTGGTGGTAAGACGCTTGCTCCTATCTGTGTGCAGTGACAGAGGGGAAACTTACTTATTGGGTTTGGGACTACACCAGGCGGTGCTTGGGATTTACTCCTGACTCTGCACTAAGGGTCACTCCTGGTGGCCTCAGGGTGGTGTGCGGTGTGTGGGAACAAATCCAGGTGAGCCCTGTGCAAGACAAGCACCCTCCCTGTTGTACTAGACCCTAGCGGGTAAATTTAATGCATGGAAAACCATCCGATTCGGCATAAATTAGAATTTCTACATAAATTCTGCTGCTCACCTTCCTCGTTATGCTACAAGATCCTATTGCCAGTGAATAACAAAGGGTCACTTTAAGCTCTTCACTACTAGCAGTTCCTTTGTGGAAAAATTCTACTTCTTCTGTGTGAGAGTAAGCGTGCAGATGTGTGTTTGTTTGTGTATTCTAGCACCAATGACCAGCCTAGGGGACCATGTGGAGTTACGCAGTGGGTGCTGGTCACGACAGCAAATGCCTCTTAATATTACACTCCTGAAAGTTTCAACTTAGACTCTGTTCTCAAGCATATTTCCAAGAATGAGAAGCCTTCAGCCTCAGCTGCCTCACGCAGAGGCCAAGGAAAGGAGAGGGGAGGAGATTAAAGTGCTTCTCAGGCTTGGAAAGCAGCTCGGGATAATGACAGCTTCTGGGAAAGAAGGTGTGGACCCTTCTGAAAGTAAAGAGAAGGCTAATCACTGATTAGAGGAACTGAGTTTGGGCTTGGGATCTGGGAAACTGAGCAAGAACTGTGAACTGTGCAGGCTGCCAGAAAATCAGAGGCAATGCCTTTCTCTGTTTCCCTCACCCCTCACTTTCTCTTTTGTAGACAATCACCCCCAAAAGAAAATAGCCATCTCTACCACTAAACACACACACACACACACACACACACACACACACACACACGCTTTCATTTCTCCTACTGTTTTCCATGTTGACACTTCACTGTCTGACTTCTTAAACCCAGTGTCCATTAAGGATTGGGGCTGGGCAATGCTGGGTGCCAAGCCTCTAGAGGTAGAAAATACTGCATGGGGCCTGGAGCTCGCCACATGGCACTGCATATACAAAATAGAGACGGTCTTAAAGATTCATTACAGGGGAAAAAAATGTATGTGAGAGTATGGATGATGAGTCCTAAACTTATGGGGATAATCATTTAACAATACACACATCTATCAAACGCTCTAACTATTTGGCCCATCGGACTATTTGCTGACACTTGTTTTCAATTCATGCCCCTTTCACATTAATCACTAGTTGGCAACCCTAACTGATGCTTATATCTGATTACTCCCATACAAACTTCAAACTGAAACAAACCAAAAATCAAAAAAGAAAAGAAAGAAAGATTCTTACTCTCCCGTGCTTGAGCTGCAGTTTCCTCTGCTTCTCTAATAAAAGTCTTTGTTGCACATCCCTGGAACTAACCCTAGAACCAGTAAGGAGAAATGATGGCCAAGCCAGGGATTCCCCACCCTTTTCATCCCCTCTCTGAGTTTTCTGGGGCCAGTGCAACTGGTGGCCAGCTGGAATTGTGGGAGTCAACTAACTGGAAAACTCAAGTGAGCACTGCAGGCAACTGGGAAGAGTGGAGAAAGCTGACCCTGGGAACTCCTGTTACTGCCCAGATAACTCCCTTTAGTACTGCAGGCACAGAACTGCCGGCTCCACCTAGTCCCCTGGAGGGAAGGATCCAGGCCAACTCTCACACTTCTGGAGTTCTCAGATGAATTCAGAGAGAAAAGGTGTCTCTCTACTCCTCTGACTTGGAACAAGACTATCACTCCACCTACTTCTTTCAACAGTAGGGAGAGTGGGACAGGGATTGGGCCCCATCTGACTGCACTCAGGATTTACACCTGGTTCTATGCTCAGGGATGACTCCTAGAAGCTGGTCAGTCATTTGCAAGACAAACCCCTTACCAGGCTATGCTCTCTGGCTCTTTGTGCTTCTTGAGAAAATTTTCAATATTTGTTTCAAGGTTTCTCTGTTTTATGCCACTGCTTATAATACTAATATACAGTGAATCGTACTGTATATTATATCATGTTAATGTAGTAATGTTATCTATTACAGTTCTTATGCTTGACAGAAATAACATTTCTTTTTGTCAAGTTTTGATTACAGTTCTTATGTTCGACAAAATAAATTTCTTTTGGTCAAGTTTTGTTTGCTTAGGAAGAATTGCTTGGGTTGCTTGAAAAAAAATGCTTGGATTTTCAAATCACAGAGGAGTAAATAAAAGTAAAACAATTTTCAACTAAGAATATTTTCATTTGTTGCATATTGATAATGTGTTTGAGAGGAACAATCTTGAAACACCTCTCCAGATTCTTTGATTTTAGAAAAAAAAAGAGAGACAAAGAAAAAAATGGGGAGAAGTTAGGAAAGAGAGAAAAGAGAAAGAGAGAAAGAGGCAGGAGGAAGGAAAGGAACAGAGAGGAAGGACAGAAAGGAGGGAAGGAGGGAGGAAGGACGGAGGGAAGGGAGGGAGGGAAGGAGGGAGGGAGGGAGGGAGGGAGGGAGGGAGGAAGGAAGGAAGGAAGGAAGGAAGGAGTTTATTTATAGTAGGATTTAAATTACATCTCAATATTTCTAAATATCCAGATATTCAGATACTTAGAGGTTTGAAACTTAGCGGCAACCTCACAAAGTACACAGAAGAAATAGGGCAGATCTTCATTATTTCTTTCCATAAAACCACACCACCCGGGATGTATCCTATAATAATTCTATTCTTCAGGGGATTTCAATCCCGGGTTTTTTACTACCTTGTTTTTCCAAAGGACCAAAGCAGAACCACACTCTTCTTTACCCAACACTAGCCTGAAGAATCTACTGAATTCTATTGATTTTTTGCTCTGTGAACACAAGCTCATTAACCTGAAACAGTAAAGGGATAACTGTATTTCACTGAGCCTGGCCAGTTGAAAATCGTCTCCCAGATTCTTGCATCTTTTTTGCAAATTCAGCTGTGGAGGCCAGAACATTGCTTCTTTGAACCTAAGGGCTCTCACTTCATTTGAAGCAGCTTTCCTGTGATTCACACTCCTTCCCTAGGACTTCTAGCAAATTTGGGGGCCCTGCCTTCCCAGCAATCTGCATTCTATAAGCTGGGTGTTGGGGGGAGACTCAAGGTCTCAAAGGTCAGCATCTCACAGGAGGCTGCGTTTCTGGTGAGCTGGCGCCAGGCCTGGAACTAAGACAGGCCATACTGGGTGGAGCTATTCCAGACAAGGAACCAAAATCTTCCCAGACCCCTCGGGACTTCCTCCTGAAGGAAAGGGCCCCTAAGAGAAAAAATAAGACAACACGGACCTCATACGCAGCGTTCCGGGCAAATCTCTCCAAGAAACCCTGATACTTTGAAAAAAAAAAAAAATCTTCCCCAAACAGGAGTATGAGCAGTCTAAACCAACTCTTGGGGGTGGGAAGGATAAGAAAGTTATTTCGCCCTCAAAATATATAATTTTCTAAAGTGTTGACTTTTGTGTGAAATCTCTGCTTCAATCTGTACCCTTTTCATTCAAGGCAACAGACGTCCTCCAAGTGTTTTGTTTTGTTTTGTTTTTTTAATTCGATTTATCCTTTGAAACAGAAAGTGCATTACATGTCACTGGTCTTGCAAAGGGTGTTGGCTTCTCTTTACAAACGGAATTCCTTATATAAATTAAAAAGGTTAAGGAGACTAATATATCACCGTTATTCGCTTAAAAATAAAAAAAGAAAAAGAAAAACCATTTACATTGTCTATAATATTCTTATGATACAAAAAAAAGAAAAAAAAACACTTCAAATTCAATTACAGCAACTAAGTGAGTTTTAGCTTTCTGACCCAGAGCAGTTGTAACAATTCCCACCTTCTACTTTAACACACATTTTTTTTTCTTTTTCTCAGAAAGGAGTTAAATTAAATACAAGCTCTTGTAGCCCTCCCGCCCCCAATCCTTTCTCGAAATCACTAATAAATAGCAAGAAACGACTGTGCAATTTCGGAGGGGAGCGGACGGGCGGGGTGTCCGCGAGCGCGCGCGGGGCCGCGGCGGGACTGGAGCGCGGGGAACGCGCGGGCCGCCTTCTGGAAGCTTCTCTAGCCAAGCTCCCCGGGAGAAGGACTACCTCTCACCCGGGAAGAAGCAAGTCAGTCTTTCTGTTTGTTTTTTGTTTTTCTCTTTTCTACCAAATTCGGGCGCGGTGTGGGGGGGCGGGAGGGAAGACTTTGACTGTTTTTTTTTTCTGCTTTCTGAAATATTCACAATAAAGTAACTTGTAGTCAGTGTGACTCACGGTTTATTTACAAAGAGCGTCAACAGGTCCCTCGGGCGGGGGCTCAGCGGGGGCTGGCGGGGACGGGGCGACCCTCGGGGCTCCGCTGGGCTCCCCTGGTGGCGGCGGCGCGCGGGGGACGCGGGCGCGGCTGACGCTCCCCGGATGCGCGCGCCCCGTGCCCGCGCCCGCGCGTCCCTTGCGCGTCCCCTGCGCGCCCCCCGCGCGCCCCCCGCGCCCCGTCGGGGGTCTCTCGGTTACAAAACAGAGCGAGTCCGTGGCGGGCGGCGGCCGCGGCTCACGACGAGCCGTCGGCGTCGGCCGCGTGCAGCAGGAGCGCGCCGCCGCCCGGCTTGTGCTTCTTGAGCAGCTGCGTGATCTTCTCGTCGTCCGAGTTGGGGTCCAGCGGCTTGTTGTAGTCGTCGTCCTCCTCCTCGTTCTCCGACGCCCCCTTGAGCCGCTCCGTCTCCGAGTCCTGCTTCTTCTTGGCCGTGGCCATCTCGGCCGCGTGCTTCTTCCTCCACTTGGTCCGGCGATTCTGGAACCAGACCTGGGGGGCGCGGGCCAAAGGGGCGAGAAAGGAAAACGTCGTGGGGTGGGGAGAGGCGTCAGAGGGGAGCCCAGGGCGGCGGGAGGTTCCCCCCCTGCAACCCCCACGCCCGGGTGCTCCTGCATCCCCCACTTTCCCGGGCTCGCTCGGCTGGGGTCCACCCCACCCGGCCCCGACACCGCCCACTTTCGGGGCCGTCGGAGTCGGTCTCCGGCGCCCCAGGTTCCTCCGAGTAACCGGCACCAACAAACTGCCGTTACCATAGTGATAGCGACACTTGAGTATTCGGGTTGTCAGTGAGTGATTTCCCAGAAAAAAACTTGGAGACAAAAAAAAAAAAAAGTTTCCCTAAAACGGAGTCGGCTTTCCGGCTTCCTAGTTTGCAAAAAGAAAAAGAAAAAACTTTAACCCCTAAAGTGGCCCCGAACAGCTGGGATTTTTTTTTCCTCCCCCTGTTCACTGCTGTCTTAGATGCAAGAATTTCAAACCACTTAAAGTGTATTTGCAGAAATGTGATTTGTAGAAGGCACAGCATTTACCAAAATTTCCTGTTTCTTTTTTTTTTTTTAGGTTCGGGTATTTGTTTGACTGTCCCAAATCTGAACACACACACACACACACACACACACACACACACACGGGAGGTAAACACTCCCCTTCCCATTTACACTTGCAGTGCATGGTGTCAAGTTCAGAAATAGAAAAGGTGGAGGAACCCGCTAAAACTGAAACCTCAAATCAAAATGTCCAAAAACCCACACACACACACAAAATTTACAGCTTAATCAAAATCATCACAGAAATTTCTCTCTCATCATCCTTGCTCTGTTGAGTACCTCTCACTTGCACTGTTTATCATAAAACCAAAGTCAAGGGCCAGAATTTTCATTAGATTTTTTTTAAAGTGAAATTCTGACCATTACATTATTTCTCACTATCAGCATGACCAGTATTTCACGTATTTTGTACTGTTCCTCTCCAAGACATTTGCAATATATACAAATATTTTAAGACTATTTATGATGTTTAACAGGTTTGATGCACATATTTTCATTTAAGCATCAACAATAAACAATTTTCCCTATTTTGTCATACACTACAAATTTTATCTCAAGAATCAGAATTGCTACAAAAGTGGTTTTTCTCTTTTTTTGTACAGCTGTAATTCACTTCTAGGCACATAGTTATATTTACAGCAACAAATGAAGACCTCCAGATAACTGTCACAGTCTCTGTAGTAACCACTGCAAAAAATGCTTTTAACTAACAATCACATACAAAAATCACTCCTGGGACGCATTTTCTAAAACTTGTCCGTTGTAACCAGTAGACTTTATCCCACTTAATTTAAAGAATGCATAATAACCAAAAATGTTTAAAAAATACATAATAACCAAGTAAAACACACAAAATTCAAAAATAATAAATTGAAGAAGAACAAAAGGATACTGGAACCATAGAACATCATTAGATTTAATTTCTGTGGCTGATAGGACCCCTTTACTTTTTCAGGGAATGGTCTCAAATTTTTGATTCCCTGGAAATCCATGGTACAACTCAATTACAAGCCAAGTGACATTTTAATTAGAAACTGTTGTCATAAACAGTCAACTATCTCGCATATGTTTATAAACTTATCATACACAGATGTCAATTTCTCAGGACGATAATAATTTACCATTTCATTTGGACAATTGCCACTTTAAAATGATTTTTTTTTCAGTTAAGCAAAAAGCAGACCCTATGAACCTGTGCCTTTTTAAAAATTTTAACCTGCAAGTTAATTTGGTAGTGCCATAATACTAATCTACATCAGAAATTATATAACAGGGGGAGCATGGAAGGACAAACAAAAGCTGGAATATCTTTACAAGTAGAATCAACAGAAGCTATCTAAGAGGCCTCATCTAGCCCGGGGCGGATTTTTTGCGTAGTGCTTTTCTTCTCCAATAATAGACAGTTCCCCCAGCACACGCGGCTATCTAGATTAACCTAATTTCAAAGGCGGGGGGTTGATTCCTTTTGTTCATCAACAGTTTGTCGCCCCGAGACCCCAGGGCTTTTGTAACCCCTACCCCCACCCTCTTCGCTGATCTCATCTTCCCAGGCTCCTCAAATCCCAACGACTACCATCCCTACCCCCAAGCGACAGTTGACTTGGTGTGTGTGTGTGTGTGTATGTGTGATGTGTGCATCTGTGTCCCATGTGTGTGCAGGTGTGTGTGTGTGTGTGTGCGTGTGCGCTCACGCGCGCCCTCCCACGGAGGTGGTGAAGAGGGTCTGAGCCTGGAGGCTTCCCGTAAGGTCCACTCACCTTGACCTGACTCTCCGTCATCCCCAGCGAATAGGCCAGACGAGCTCTCTCCGGCCCCGCCAGATACTTCGTTTGTTCGAACGTCTTCTCTAGGGCGAAGATCTGTTGGCCGGAGAATGTGGGTCTCGTGTGTTTTCTCTTTCCGTCTTTGTCCAACAGAATGGATCCTTGATCTGCGGGACAGATAAACACGAGAGAGGGGGACGACAGCCTGTTAGTGGTGGCTCTCGGGGAAAGAGACCAACGGGCGCATCCTGCGTTTCGGGGGTCCTAGCCAGCCTATGCGGAGCGGGGCATCACGGCGCTCCCGCCTTGGCCTTTTCACTCACACCTGCTCGGAATAGCACGCGTGCCCAGAGCAGCAGTCAAAGAACCTCCTTCCACCGGCACCAACAGCCGAACAAACAGCCTCGAGCGCCTTACCAAAGTTTGCAGACCCCGGTCGCCAGGCCCCGCAAATTGCAAAGAGCTGAGAAAGGTCCAGAAGCTCACCCGGAGCCTTGGCCGGGGCACAAACTAGTAGTTTTTCCCCCAGAGCGCGCGCCACAATGGGGCGTCTTCCCCCCCCCCCCCCTTGGCATACAGGGATTCAATCGCCCACCCCAAGCCAAACGCTGTAGAGGCATTCTTGGTGCTCCCCCCACAAGCTCTTTACAATGAATTCGGTGGCATCTCCGGGGTGCCGTCACCCGGCCACCCTCCTTCCGTGGCTACCCCGGGGTGGTCTCCAGCTCTGGGCCGTGGCAACTTCATTCCGCTACTGCGGCCCAGACACGCGGTAAAGTCCTGAGACTTGGGAAAACTGCCGGGACTGTCTTAAAGCCAGAACCGGGCAGAAAAAGACTCCAGGCGGGGCCCCTAACGCCACCGCTGAGACTGGGGTCCTCCAGCGCCGGCCAAAGAGCCCATCGCAGACCGAGATCACTAGTGGGTCTGCAGCAAGGTCTGCGGCGGGTGGCGCGGCTCCCGCTGGCTCTTGTCCCCTTGCCCCGTTCCCCCTCCGGTTCTCTCTGCAGCGGGTGCTGGAGGGTGTGAAGTGGGGCGAACCGGGGTGCCGCTCCCCTGAGCCACCGTGCGCTCCTCTGCCAGCTCGCCGGGGGCCTGGCTTCTCCGCGCGCCCTAGGGCCGAGTGGACCGAGTGCCACTGGCTAAGAGGCGCGGTGGGGACACTCTTAGGGCAGGAACGTACTGAGCAAACACCTGTGCCGTGTTCGGGGCTGTGAGCCACCGCCGCTGCGGCCCCCAACACCTGGCCGAGGGGAAGCCTGGAAGGTGGGCAAGGGCGAACGGGAAGCCCGACCCGCAGGAGTCCGGAAAAACGGGGGTGAGCGAGAGGCTGAGGGGGATGGAGGGTCTCTCTGGCCCCCACCTCTCTGAGCCCGGCCCGGCCTCGGGCTCCACTCGGGATGCTCTGGAGCAGAATCCGACGCGGCCCCCGGGCTGCGGCTCGCGGTACCCCGCGCGGACGCGCGCACCCTCGCACGGCCAGGCGTGGCCCAGCACTTGGGGATCCCTCGCCCCACGCCCTGCCCGGGCTCAGCCGCCCCGCGAGGCCGGAGGAAGAGACCCCCGGAGGGGATGGGACCCCGAGAGCCCTGAGAGTCGGGCGCCCGACGGTACTCACGCGGGGTGCAGGCCAGGCGCGCGTCCCGCCAGGGCGGGCTCTGCATCACTCCGGGCCAGAAGATGGGCGTCCGGCCGGGCAGCTCGGCCAGCGGCTTGGGGTAGCGACCCACGGCGGCCACGGCCGCGGCGCTCGGGCTGAAGTAGAGCCCCGGGGGCGGCGGCGGCGGGCTCAAGCTGCTGAAACGGGGCAGGCCGGCCAGCAGCCCGGCCGGGGAGGACGCGGCCGCCGCGGCCGCTGCAGCCGCCGCCGCGGCGGCCGACGCCGAGGATGCGGAGGAGGACGAGGAGGAGGACGAGGAGGACGAGGAGGACGAGCCGGAGGGCGAGGCGGAGGGCAGGGCGGCCCCCGAGGCCAGGGGCATGGAGGGCCGGCTCAGGATGTCGTTGATGCCGTGCGGGGTGGCCGCGGAGAGCGGCTGCGGGGGGCTGCCCAGGGACGAGAGCCCCCCCGCGGCCGGGGGCTTCAGGCCGCCGGGGTTGTGAGTGCCCAGCGGCGGGGAGGGCGACGAGGAGGACGAGGACGACGACGAGGACGACGAGGGGGGCCCGGCGGGCAGCGGCGGGTAGGCGGCGGGGTACAGGGGGGTCTTCATCTCGGCCATGCTGTGCAGGGCGGCCAGCGGCGGGCTGCTGAGCAGGAACGCGCTCTGCCGGGTGCCCTCCATGGCCCCCAGCGCTAACATCCCACGGCCCGGCCGCTGCCCGCAGCCCGCCGCCGGGGACCCGCGCGACGCGCCCGGAGGCGACCTGCCAAGCGCGCCGGGAGCGGCGGGCACCGGCGTCCGGAGCGGACCGGACCGGATCGGACCGGGCCCCGCGCCTCTTCCCGCTCCGGGCGGGCGTCCGGAGCGGGTCTGGACTCTGGTCTCCGACGCCTGGACCGCGCCGCTCGCCGCACGCGACTATCCGATCTCCTGCTCTGGGCCCGAAGAAGCGAAAGGAAACGCCGCGGGGCCGCCGAGAGTTTGCAACAAAGTTTCAGAGTCGCCGAATCGCCACTTTTCTAGAAGTTGGGGTGGGGGGGCCGGCGCGCTGGCCTCTGGAGAGGGTCCGCGGGACGCCGCCGCCTGCTCGCGCCGCCGCGCCGGGAGGGATGCGCATCCAGCCCGCCCGGGGACCGCGCCCCGGGGCCGCGCCCGGACTGCAGCGCCACCGAGCCCCGGGGCGCCCGGGCTCGGCCGGCGGACCTGCTGCCTTCCCCGACACTTCAGTGGCAGTTTGGGGAAAGGACCACGGGAACGGGAAAAAATAAAACTAGATAAATCAAGAGAAGGGAGGGGGATGGAGGGAGAAAAAAAAAAAAAGTAAAAACTGTGACGGCGGCTCGGATCCCGGCTGCGCTCCTCGCTCCGTGCACTTGCGCCTCTAGAGGGGTCCGGCGACCCCCGCCCCACCCCCAGCGCCCGCTCCTGCGCTCACTGTCCGCCCGCGCCTCTCGGCTCTCGCATCTTGGGCCGCTGCCCTCGCAGGCTGCCCGCGCGCTGCCCGAGTCCGGTCCTCGGCCGAGCTGACCCTCTGCGCGGCGCTCGCCCGTCCTCGGCGCGCTCCCTCCGGGCCTGACAGTTCGGATGAAGCTCTCAAAGGTAATAAAACATTTGCATCACTCCCTACCCCTCTTTAGTTGGGGGACGAGCGGGAGGGGGCAGGAGAGGGGGGGTCCAAAATGAGAACTTTGAGGGACGTCACCCGGAGGCGGCGGGGCGGGGCGGGGCGGGGCGGGGCGAGGAGGCGGGTGCCGGCCGGGGGCGTCACCGCCGTCTCCAATCGCGCGCAGGCTCGGCCTTCGCGTGGCCGCAGGGGCGCGCCCAGGCGGGGGTCGCCGCGCCCTCTGATTGGCTGAGGAGGGCCCGCCCCGGGGCGGGGGGCTCTGGGTCCCCGCCCCTGGCCCCTCCCGCCCTCCTCCGGTGGGCGTGGTCAGGGGCGGGGCCCGGCGAGTGGTGCGGTTCCGCCGCGGGGCCAGTGGACGCCTCAATTAATTGTGTTAAATAAAATGGGCAAGGGGAGGGGGGGAGCCGAGTGGATAGGGTATTACTTTTTAAAGAGCCGAATAATGAAAACCCGGCCCTTTTATGGAAAAGCAGTTCATAGTCTTCACCTCCCCCCCCACCCCCACCCCCGCTAGCGCCAGCCTCCCCCCTTCCCCCGCGAGCTCGCGGCGCCTCACCTCGAGGACGGGCTGGGCCCTTGGAAAATGGAGCTAATGGAGCAGGCAGCAGGCGCAGCCCTGGCCCAGCGCCTTCTTTTGAAGGGATTAATTAAAGGCCATCTGGGCGCTCCCAGAATTGTGTAAATTAATTTGTTGCTCCTTAAGCCTATAGATGTCTTTAATCCCCTTGTAGGCCGAAGGATCGTCCTCCTCCAGCTTTGCCCCCCTCCTCCCCATCCTCCCCTTCTCTGTTCTTTCTCCCCTCACCCTTCTTTTCATCCCTGCGTTTCCCCCAACCCCTCCGCGAACCTTATCTTTTCTAGGTTTTACTCAGTTCACTAGGAGCAGAATCAGCTTTGAAAGACTCTTCACCTTTCCTTTGACCTTTACACCCGAGAGCAGAGTTGTTCTGTCCTTTAAAAATCTTCTCTTTGTGGTTATTTGTTTTTGCGTTTCTGTGGCGGGAGAATCATCCGAGGTGAGGTGGAGTCTTTTATATACAGAAGTATTGAAACTCCGGAGACTGTAATTTTTGAAAATCATCTACGGTTCTCTGGGGCTTGTCCGAGCATCCAGGGCAGTTTCTGGAGATGGAGTGAACTTGGATTCTGGGTAGGCACCGGGTGTCTAGAGTTTAGGAACTGGACAGTGACTTCCTATTCCCTCTAAATCCCTTTCATTCCTGGAATGGAATTTAATCGTCTTTAAATTCCCAGCCAACCGGGTTGCACTGGGTACATGAGGACCCAAATTCCAGATTTCAGGATGTTCAAGTAACCCAACTCAGGGAGGGATCATTGTAACAATTTGGATAAGATCATTGCTTTGGGGGCTTGAAAGATAGGACAGTGGGTCCCACAGTGCATACGGCCTCAGTCCTGAGCACAGAGCCAGGAGGAAGCCCCAGCACCATCAGGTGTGGCCTCCCCAACCGAAAAGTTAAATAGAGATATAGGTTGTTTGACTCTGAAGTTTGACTGTAGCTGTAGATTGTTTGACGGGAACTTTGACTACGTGCACAATGTACTTAGGTGGGTCCACGCACCAAAAGCCAGCAGAAATTATTGTGCTGTGAGAACTTTGCTTTCCAAAGCACTGGTTTATAAAGAGTGCACTGGAGTCTGAGTTTTTAGATTTTCCTTTAACTTTTGTCACTTTTGTTGTTTACTTCTGGTCTCATAGAAATGTCATTCTGATTTGCTCACGGGCCCTCTCTCTTCTTCCTTAATCCCCAGGCCAGGCAAATTCCATCTTTTCAGGCACTTTGGAATTGGAAAGGGGGGAAGGTGCGGTCTTGCCTTAACGGTGCTTTGTGCTGTGCCGCGGAAGGCTGAATCGGGAACAGTCTGCACTGCCCCGGAGGAATTCCGGCCCGGGAGGAGTCTGAACCCGGCGCCGCTGACACCTTGGCCGGGAGGAAACGGCTCCAATGGGATGCGGGAAGCCTGAGCCTGCCGGGGGCGCTGGGACCCCTTCGGCCTCTAGCTTCGTTTTGGACCAGACTTCTTGCCACCCTGGCTGTAGCACGCCCTGCTTCTGGGCCATCAGCCACCCGCGCGGACACCGCTTCTCCCAGACCAAGTTGGGATGGAGAGAGAAGGTGGCTAGCGTTTTTCGAAATTCCAGTTGGAAGGGGCGACTCCTCTTTATTTGTGTGACTCGGGGAAGAATAGAACCTGCTCTATTGGGGGTGGGGGGGGGGTTATTTTCGTGTGAAAGAGAGATTCAACCCAACTCCAGCAGCGCATTGCCCATCCGGAAATCGCCGCTGAGCGTGACAAGTGTGCAGAGTTTAACCTGACATTTCCCGAGTGAAGACAGCGAGCGTTGTTTTCTCTGGAGACGGTTCCCAGGCATCCTGCCCTGCGTGTCCCTGGGCCGCGCGCGTGGCGGCCGCTCGGAGCGCAGCGCTGCGAGCCGCGGACCTTTCGGTGCGGTGCGGTGCGGTGCGGTGCAGCCCGGCCGGCTCGGGGACCAAACGTCCAGCCCGAAGGAGACGACCCCACCTTGGCCCGAGAGGGTCCCCGTACCGCCCAGCGAAGCTCGCTTCGGTTCTCCGCCGTGTGACACCCGTTTTACGAAAGCCCCGTAGAAAATCGGGAGTCCTTCCCCCAAGCCCAGTTTTTTTCTGCTCAACACCTAATAAAGTGGGGGGGGTTCGGTAGCACCCCGAGGAAGGGGACGCCCCCTCGCATCTCTGCACATTTATATGTTGGGGGAAGGGGTTTTGTGGATGTGAATGATTTGTAACATAATTGTGGAAAAGATGAAAGCGGTTTGACAAATTCTGACTTTTATATATATATGAGGAAGAAGGAAGGAAGGAAGGAAGGAAGGAAGGAAGGAAGGAAGGAAGGAAGGAAGGAAGGAAGGAAGGAACGGTCCGAAAGGGTAGGGGTGAGGGCAGCTCTTCGAGACTTCCCCTGTAACCATGGCCCCACCCCGTCCCCGGTTTTCACAGTGGGGTTTTAGCTGCACAAGTTGCGACTCCCGGCAGCAAACCCGGGGCCAACCACCCAGCCCTGGGTCTGCATCCTATTCCGGAGTGCTTTGGTGCCTTGTCACAGGTCTGGCAGTTGAGGTGCAGGAAGGAGCTACTCAATTCAGGCTTATCCTCCCCCCTCCCCCGAAAAGAAATGCTAATGAAGCCTCAGACAAACGCACGCACGGTCTTTGCTCTTTGCCGAAAAATATATATAAGTGTCGGGACCCTGCGAGGAAGCCAATTCTGCACAGAGTAAAGGGGAGGGAGGGAACGAAGTGCTTGGGTCCGGACAAAAACAAAAACAAGAACAAAGCCCTCTGCAACACCCGAGCTAAAACTGTCCTTGAGACACCCGCAACCGAAGCTCCGCTCGACGGCCGGGGCCTGCCGGGGCCCAGCCGCGGCCGCTGATGCTCTCTCAGAGGGGCCGGGCGCGCGGGGAGGCCGAAGGGCGGGGAGCGGGGACCGGGTTGGGGTCGCAAGCCTCCAGCATCCGAGAACAGAGCTCGTCTGCGCTCTCAGGCCGGTCGCGGAGCTCCAGGGGGAGCCGACCTGGCTGCGTCCACTCCCAAAGATGCCCCCAGCGTCCAGCCGGGCGCGGCGCCGCTCTCCGAAGCCCGTTGAACTCGCCCGGGTTCAACTTGGAGCTCTCGCCCGCTACGGGCGCAGAAGCGCCCCAGACGGAGCCGTCCCGGGGTGGGTAGAGGGTCTGCAAGAGCAACCCCCGGATTCAGGGCTGGGGTCCATGCAAGGAAGCACCCGCGGCCGTCGAAGGAGGGGTGGGGCGCACGGCTCCCGAACGCTCCGCAGAGCGCACCCAGGGGTGCATGAATCCCGATGTTTTTCTGCACCGCCTCTTGGCTTCCCCGCAACCCTATTTGCTTAGAGGCTGGAACGCGGGATCCCGCGTGGCTGGAAGCAATTTCCGTCTAGAATCAAAAGGCTGGCTCCTTCTGGTCCAGCAAAACAGCAGGTGACCTGAACGGCCGCGAGACACTTCTTATGTGGCCAGCTCTCCGATGGGCACTTTAGGTCATTTGAGACAGTCCGAGCATCACAACTCGCTGTTAT